GTGTGGAAGAGAGGGGGGCAGCGCAGAGGGAGGGGAGGGGGGGACGAGGGAAGGCGAGGGCGATATCAAGCGGGTCAGAAAAAGACCAACAACAGCAGGGAGGAGCAAGAGAGAGAAAAAAAAGGGGGAGAGTGCTCGTCAACCAAAACGCACCCGCTCATGCTCACGGAGCTTCTCCTCCTCCTGCTCGGCGATCTCCAGTGCCTCGAGCAGACGCTCACTGGCGCGCACGGTGTCCAGGCTCTTGAGAGCAGCACGATCGGCGGAGTCATCATCAGCAGCGGCGGCGGTGTCCTCCTCGGCAACGGGCGCCTCGAACATCTCCTCCATCTGGCGCTCACGCTCCTCCTGGAGGATCAGCTGCTCGGGCGAGCGCTCCCAGATGCGGATCGACCGGTCATGCGAGCCAGACACCACAAAGTCACCCTTGGCGCTGACGGCCAGGGCCCACACCTCGGCATGATGCCCATCAAGGGACTGGATATTCTCGAACTGAGGTGGCAAGAGGGTTCGATCCCGAGGGAGGTGCAAGAAGCAAGGCAAGGCAAGGAGGGGGAGGGGGGGAGGAGGAGGATGAAGAAGACAGCGAGAAGGTGAAGGGTGAGTATATGACAAGAAAGTAACCCCAGGCCAAGATGCACACCGGAGGAGGAGAGACACATGCGCACCTTGTCGGCATCCCACTGCTTGATGAGCTTGTCCTTACCGGCAGACCAGAAATAGTGGGTCTCCGGCACAAAACGCACGGCCATCACCGAGTCCCCGTGGGCAATCAGCGACCGATGGCAGTCACCAAAGTCCAAGCCCCAGATCTTGACCGTCCGGTCGGCCGAGCCACTGACCAGGAGGGACGCGTCGTCGGAGATGTCGATCGACAGAGCGGGCAGCTATGTAAGCCGAGGAGGGGAGGGGGAGATGCAGGAAAGGGGGAGGGGAGGTGCAGGAAGGTCAGCAAAGAAGGAGCAAGAAGCGGAAGAGGCGGCAACAAAAGACTCGCGGCAAAATGGCGGGTCGGGCGGCGAAATCCCCCACACCGGCCCAGACATACCTTGTGGCCATAGAGAGAAAGGAAGAAGCGCATGGTGTCCAGGTAGAAGACCTTGATGGTGGAGTCCAGCAGGGAGATGGCCAGGAACTTGCTGTCGCGCGAAATGCACACCGCCAGCACATCGTCCGTCATCTCCAGGCTTCGAGCCTGAGTGAAGCCCAGGGCCTTCTGCACGACAACCTTGGCACCGGTCTCGGCGTCCATCTCATCGGCCTCGGATTCCGAGTCAGACCCGGCCTCCGCGTCGGCGTCGGCGTCGGACTCGGAATCCGAGCCAGACCCACCACGCCCCCGGCGAATCGACACGTCATACTCATCCTCACGAGTCATCAGCTCGAAGTCCCAGATCTTGAC